ATAACAATATATAAGGCATCAAATCTTAGAAAATTACTCAATGTCTGTCCCTGCATCCCTTTGTGAGCCGTAATTTTCATGTATTGAAATGATTATGACTATTCGTTAATTAAAATCAAATATTAGAATAGGCCAATAACACCCTGCCATCCAGTTCACAAGTCATAAATTTTACGACATTAACTATTATTATAGCTCTAGAGTTACGGAAACCAACTGATGAGGAAAAGAAACAAATAAGATACTAAGCAAGATTATATCAGTTCAAACACACAATTACAAGGTATAAGCCTATATCACCAGAAACAATTCTTTAACTAGTTTAAAGCACCATTGATGTTGGTTCTGCATCTCCAAAACAAAGTACAGCACAAAGCACAATAATTCTATAAGAGCACACTAGCAATAGCACAAAGCACAATAATACTATAAGAGCACACTAGCAATAGCAAGTTAACAAATTAAAATAAATGGTCTTTGCTCCTTGTTTTGAATTTTCCTCCCTGTAAATAGCTGTGCACTGAAGCGGATGAGATCCTAAGGTACTTATAAAAGATTCTAGATGCTTATGCAATCTTAACATTTAAAATTAAAAGCACATAAAATATCATTTTTTTCTTTTTAATTTTTGAAATGAGGGAATTGGCAAGAAGAACAGTGACAAGTTCTTGAAGAGTATTACCACAATTAATTTTCCAGCTGTAATCAAGAGCGCAAGAGAAGAAGTCTTCCATTTTCAAGTGTTTCTCTAAGTTTTCCTTCCCAATACATAACACTCCATCTAATGAAACATGCTCACTTTTAGGTCCCGTAAATAAATGCTCAACTTGAGCTGCTTCTTCCAGGCCAGGAACAATGGACCCATCCACCTATATCCAGAGATCAAAAGCAGGGGAAGGAGGGTGGGGAGCAATATAGTATTTATCAAATTTACATCCTCATGTATGAAGAATAGAAGAAACAAAAGACATGAAAGTGCAGCCAGAAACCGTAGAAGTAACTAAGTATCAGTGGAAAAAGACACGCAAAACAGAGAATGGATTAATTGAAAAGATTAATAAAGTTTCTAACCCTTTGACATTTTACATCAGCAAGCTTCTTTATCAAATGTGGTTTCGCTTCGGTTTTCATGTTATATAACCTTAGCTTGTAATACAATTCCTAACTTGCATTCATGTATCCAAGAATTCCCCACAACTGCTGATACACCAAAGCAAACAAACGTTAGTAATTCTATTAATTAAACCAAATATGGAATTTAAAACAAGAAAATAAACAATTTAAATGCGAAAAGAAAAGAAATGACTGCGACAAAAAACATGAAGCAACAAATAAGACTAATTTAAACACCATTTCAAGCACAGATCCATACAAACACTTCCAATGAAACTTAAAAACTTAAAAGAAAAGGAAAAGGAAGTAATTTCATTTTAATGCAAAACGATGAAAATCAAGTTTATCGATTTTCAACCAGTATTTAACATTAAAAGGGGGGGGGGTTATGAACTGCCATTTATCTTTTATCCAAAGAGACCAATTATTGCGGCTTTATACTCAGATTTCGTAGAGAAACATATATATTTACAGTGAAATGAGTCTACTCGAGCTGTTCAGTTCATCTACAAATTTCATTTTTCTAAAATCAGTAGAAAAAAGGGAAAAGATAATATCAGGAAACAGACAATAAAGAAAACAAAATTTTCTTTCCCCGATGTTTTTTTCAGGAATCAAATAGGCAGTAAGAATCAAAGATACTTCATGCATCCGCAAACCGAAGGCTAACCACTTATCAATCTCCGATCTACTTAATTTTCAGCTCAAAAGAAAACCCTTTTAGAAAATTTAAAACTAGTAAATTCCAGAAAGGAAAAACCCTATTTTAACTAAATGAAAAAATCTGACCTTGAAGAGATGGAGCAGAGAATTAAGTTAAGAAGAGAAAAGGGAATGTTCGTAATAGAAGTTGAGAACAGCAGAAGGCCTCGAAGAATGTAACAGAGGGCAAAAAAGAGACATTTGGGAGCATTGAAGCCGATACCCTGCTAAAAAGAATCCCCTCGTTAACAATTGAACCAAACTATACATATTTTTCATATTTTTTCTTAGGGTGAAGTTATATAAATAGACCTTGATTATATAATATTATTTTATTAAATTTTTCAATTATTAAAAATTAAATTATTATTTTTTATTAATAAAATACTATTTTTTATTAATAAAATATTATTTTTTTCATCAAGCTATACATATTTTAGTTTTTGACTATTAAAAATTACAAATTAATTATCTAACTATTTATATGCTATTTTTCATCATTTTATGTTAAAAAATTAATAGTCATATGAATTGAATCTTAACATGTTAATTGAGATGTGATAAAATCATAATGATGTCTATTGATACCGTCGCTATTTTCAAATACTGACTTGATAACATACATAAAAGTGTAAGACTCAACGGGCTCCTTCCTCTTTCGTTATTTGATTTGCGAGGAAGGATCTCGTTGAATTCCTAATGATCATGGTTACTTGTTCTATTATCTATTATAAGTAAATAAAAAAAATTATGAAAAATCTGGAAAATTCTAAAATCATAATAGAAATCTTTGATGAATGGGTTATAGAATTGTTATTATTTCGACACAACACCAGAAAAAGATTATTGTGTCGAAGGCTACGAAGACGAAGAATATTCTCTGTAATTATTTGTTCCCCTCATTTATACTTTTTTTCTATTCTCCGCTTACTTATCTTATGTTTAGTATCTAAACAAATTGAATTTAAAAAAATCATTATGTTACATTTAAACACGAACCCATTCTGTGACATTTAAATCTGACAATAGGAATAGAATTACACCCCTCCAATTTAATCCAATTTAGATTGAAAAAAGAAAGAAAAAAAAGTAAAGACAATTTCAAGTACTGACCCATTGACATAAGGTAAACAAAGAGTTGATCTATAAAATACAATTCAAACGATTCTAAGATCAGATTTTATTATATCTCAATCAATAGATTAATGTCCAGCACATATGATTACCAAATTTTTAACAAAAAAAAAAAAATAGTTGGAGACTCAACAAAACAACATCCTATAATTAGGAGATCATTTTATAATTTTTAATAATTGACTCAACAAAGTAACACTTTATGATTGATAGACACCGAATGCACATCTTATCTTTTTTTATTAAATCTCCTATTATAAAAAAATAAAATATATATTTGAGTTAAAATAATAATAAGTTATCTTATTATCGCAAAATAATAATAATAAATGACGTGATGATGAGTAGAATTAATATTATAATAATTTTTATTTTTAAATTTTATTTTAATTTCAATTTAAAAAAAATATTTTAATATTGTATTAACGTAATCTTTAAAATTTCACTTTCCTTTGTTATTTTCTCTAGAATCTTTTGTATCCATTTCTGATCTTAGTGGCCAAGAAAACAAAAACCAAAGAATGAAAGTCAGATAAAAATGGAAACATTGATGAATTCAAAGGAAATTCCATTCTAATTTCTAAATTTAGGTTGAAAAATTAAAAAAACAATTTTTTTTTATTGATCGAGTTTTATATCAAATTTTTATAGTTAACGTTGGAACCAAATCATAAATCTTTTATCCTTTAATCATTAAAGACTATATTTTAAAAAAAATAAACAAATCACTGTAATTTGAAAGGAAAAAACAAGAGAAATTATAAGAGAGATATAAAATAATATAAAATATGTATTTTTATCTTCATATTTAAAAAAATATTTTTACCTTTTTATCCTTTAATTTTGTCATCATATATTCATATTAATCTTATTTTCACCTAGCAAGTGTAACTTCAGATCGATTAGTGAACTTCGAATGGATCCCACAAATATTTATTTATTATATAGATTTAATATACTTTTATCTGTCTAAATTATATTTTAAATTAAATTTTGATATTTAAATATTTTTTTGTTAAAAATATGTATCTAACGTTATTACACGTTTAGATGCTTGGATTGTAAAGACCGTTAAATTTTATCTTTATCTCACACATATAAAAATTCAAAAAAATAATAATACTATAATTAAAAAACCTCAAAATTCCACCGCTGATCGATCATAGTCGGTAGGTAACCGTCGTCGTTGACACCACTAAAACCGTCTCGCCATCACGACCAAAACCCAGTCCTCCACTCACGATTAAATTGTCGATATAAGTGAAAAGCGCAACGAAGGATTGTCGATTTTCTAAGTTTTCCTTCGTTGTTTTTTGACGATTCCGACGGCTACAACTGATTGTACGTTATACAGTCACCACCATTTAGTTCCTCGTACTGCTCCGAACAAAATTCAACCAGTGGTGACCATTCGTCGTCATCAAAGGTGGGAGATGAGAGAGAAAGGACGACGGTGGAGAGTTTTATTTTTTCAATTTTTTTTTAAAAAAATATTTTTATTATTAAAATATAGAAAAATAAAAATATAACAGTAGACACTTGAAAGTGTAACAGAAAAAGCGTTAGACGCATGTTTTTAACGAAAAAATCTTTAGTCATCTAAAATTGTATTTTTAAATAATTATTTTGAAATTTTATATGCATGACACATGTCAGATAACAGCCAAATTTAATGACAATTATGGTTCAGACACCTAAAAGTGTAACTTTGGAAACGTTAGACACATATTTTTGATAAAAAAATTGTTTGGACACCAAAAATCAATTGAAATATAGTCTATGCACCTAAAAGTGTAGAAAGCTATTATATATAACAATTAGAATATTAATTATGAAGAGAGAACATAATATAAAAAATAAACTAAAAATACAAGTATGTTAACAAAATTAGAATTTATATCATGAACTGAATGATTAATACATTAAAATTTATAGATTTTTTTAAAAATATATATATATATATATATATATATACAACACAAAATTCATCGATACAAGTTCTAACTATTAACCATGAATTTTTCCCATTTTCCTTTTATGTTTCATTTTATACAAAAAAAGAAGGTTGAACTTCTCCAAACTCATCTGGTTATAAGTATGATGAAAGCTACAATGCGAGCGATAATGCCATTTACAACAAGGACGATTAAACAAAGAGAGTAGTCATGGAGATCATAACCCCCTGATTCCAACGATTTGCAACGAGTTAGTAGCCAAACCCCAGAGTACCTGAACCAACACTTATTCAAAACCAGATTCAATTTCATCTATGGTTTATAGGTTTCACAAAAAGAGGGATGCCATTATTAACCTTTCAGCATTTGAAATGACAAAAGCTTCCAAAGCCCATTTGGTGTAGCAAAATTTTCCAAAATATCTCTGAACCATGCTATCTTTTCCCTGGTTGGCAACTAGAGTAAGAACAACAGGAACAAGCGCTGCCCACTGAAGAAAGATGTTCATTAGCTAAAATAATTATTCAGAAAGTATTCCATTAGTTGATGTAATGACAAATCTTTTAGAACATACCAGTTGGGCCAGACTAGGTGTAAAGGCAATGGCTAATACATAAGCCATACCAGTGACACAGTAAACAAGGCACGCCAATATAACGTAGTTATCTTCAAAGCTTGATCTTGGATTGTTGAAGAAGTAGAACATTGATAGATATGCCACCGGTTTTATGATGACGTTGAAGTTATCGATTGTGTCTTTTGATAAGAAATGAGCCAGACTGCTGATCCCGGCTTCGGTCTCCCTTTTGTATTCTAACTTATCCAGTGAATACGTTCTCAATGCTGCGATCATCGATAACAGAGCTGCGAATGAAGGTGATTTAAGTTGAAAGCACAATGATAGCATGAGTATGTTAGCCAAGTTTCTTTTTTTTGGTTTGACTTACATACTGCAATGACTGAATATGTGTAGCCAGCGTTATCCAGTGTTTCATCCGTGACTTTGGCAAGTGTTCCTAAGGAGGCTCCAGCAAGTATTAGGATCATTAAATCCACGGCTTGCATCTGACCTTCTCGTAGTCTCTGTTTCAGAACCCTGAAAATTTTCCGTTGGATAAGTCATTTAGTTCAATCTACAAGGAGATCAACCCTTTACAACTAGGTGTCTGATACATGACAAATATTCATATGATAGGAATACTGGTGTTGGCTTATACCTGCCAAGGAAGTATCTGTACTGGCGAAATATACCCGGTGTTTTTCTGTTTGATAAGTCTTTAGATTTCAGGACACTACTCTTTGAATCGTCAGGCATGTCTGAGGAAAATGATTGTTCACTAGAAGCACCATCAGAAGTATTTGAATTTGAACCATAGGGTGTGGCAAGTCCTTCAGTCAAATCGAGCATATCTACGGGTATGGGGTAGCCATTGTATAGCATCCATCGGACAGGAAGCTGCTCACGGGTAATTGATGCTGGCTTGTCAATCCCTTCCAGAATGTCGATTAAGTGGTCCGGAGGATTGACACGGTCAGGTATGTCGATCCCTATGCTGGAAAAGTATTCTTCAAGCTTCTTCACAGGTCCAAGATATGCAATCAGACCACCTTTGGCTAGAAGTATTAAATCATCAAACATCTTGAACAAGGCATAGCTGAATCAAAAGAAACTAACAATTAGCTTCACAAATTAGAAAACCAAAATGCAGCTATTTCTTGATGTGATTTCAGCCTTTGGCTTTTATTAGATAAGAAACCATGCACAGACACAAACAAGCGCACTTATACATTTACATACAAGCTCCTCTGAATCGGAAAGAATCATACCTTGGTTGGTGAAGTACCATGCAGATGTTTACTCCTTCAAGAGCTTCACGTCGAAGAGCTCGAAGGAGCAACTGTGATGAGGAACTGTCTAAACCAGTAGTAGGTTCATCCAAGATCAATAAAGAAGGTTCCATAACCATCTCTAGTCCAACATTCACACGTTTTCTCTGGCCTCCGGAGATCCCTCTCTTCTCCACTGTCCCAACAAGTGAATCTCTTACTGGCTGTAGTCCCAAGGACTCGATCACCCTTTCGATAATCAAAACTTTATCGGGTTTTGGCAGGTCCGCAGATAGTCTTCAATGACGTCGAATCCACCGAAATAATAAAGTAAGAACGAAACTTATAGGATGCAGAGCATCAAACATAAAGACAATATATTATGTTCTACAATGATGGTTATTTATAACATGACCATTAGCAGGAGAGTCAGTTATAAATCTACCATGTTCCTTGAGCTAAAATGGCCCATGAAAAAAAATTCCTAATTTTCACAGTTTTCTTTTAATTTAAATTGCATGAAGCACATATATTGTATCAAGCCTAACAGTTCCCAGGAATATCAACATAATTAAGATTACTGAACTTGTGATTATAATCGAGCAGAGGTCTCCTAAAATAACACAAGACGTATGATGCATCTTTGAATTCAAAGATCAACCAGCTACAGAAAGTTATGTTGTCTGAAACTGAGCTGTCTTTATAAAAATGCTGATGAGATGATGACTACTGTTAGATTGTATCAAAAGTTTTGAAAGCACATACCTGCACCTTGCACTGAATCGAAGGTTCTCTTCTACTGTCAAGTTTCCATGCACTATATCATCTTGAGGCACATATCCAATAATTTTCCTATATGCTTGGATAGGTTCGTTTTTTCCATTCACAAGAATCTGGCCTGTAACAGCGCATCCAGCAGCAGTTTTCCCCGTCAAAGCAGAGAGAAAAGTAGTTTTCCCAGCTCCTGATGGGCCCATAACTGCGGATACACGGCCAGGACTGAGTTTCCCGGTGACACACCTGAGAAGATGTTTGTTGTTCTTCTTCAAAGTGAGGGTTAGATCCTTAAAATGAATCTCAATCATAGGCCTGGTTCGGATATTGCTATTCGTAGCCATTGAAATTATTCCTGAGAAGGTCAGATTCTGGGCCTGGTTCTGTTGTGCTTTTTCCTTCTCAATTTGACCATAGGCATACTTGAAAATTTGACTTTGAGTATGCAAGTGTTTACCCTTTGGTGCTTGTTTTTTCACATTTTCCCCTCCAATATGCACATCAATACCCTCGTTACTTTTGGAATCATCATGTTCAAGGGAATGCGTCATCTTTGTGAGGTCGCCTGGTTCCTTTTTCTTGTCTTTTGAATCTCTAGGTACTTGCTCTGGCAACTCAGGTTCAGTAGATTTACTTGCACCCGATGTCTTCGTCTGTTCAGGTCGCCTCTGTGATCTTGTTCGAGAAAATGTCTTTGAAAGCTGTGAACCTCCCTTCTTCGCAACATCTTTTGCTGCTTTCCACCTTTGCCTTGCTTGTGCAGTTTCACGCACATGCTTTGCCGCTGCTTCTCGAGACTTGGCCTTTCTTCTTTCTTTAGTACTAATAACTTGATCGGAGAAATTATAAATAATAAGCAGCAGAAGACAGAGTCCAACCTACTTATTCAAGAAAAAGGTGCAACAGTCAACTCGTCGAAACTGGTTCTACAGAAAAGCTAAAATAGATGCTATTACAGAGAAAAAGGAACACAATTTAGTTCTGCATAATCGAAGACAAGTTGGTAAACCACTTACGAAAAGCATGACGCCATAACCGTGAATGTTCTGGTTCGACGTATTGGATTGCAGCTAGTTAATTCGAAGAACTCGTCGAAACTGGTTCTACAGAAAAGCTAAAATAGATGCTATTACAGAGAAAAAGGAACACAATTTAGTTCTGCATAATCGAAGACAAGTTGGTAAACCACTTACGAAAAGCATGACGCCATAACCGTGAATGTTCTGGTTCGACGTATTTGGATTGCAGCTAGTTAATTCGAAGCAAGCTGCAAAATATTCACAAAAATCCATTAAAAAATGGGTATCCATCTTTTGTTGAATGAACCAACATCATTCAGCAAAACGTTGCTGCATATGCATCAACTGTAAGTTAGACACCTTGAGGCTTGGAGCGAGGAAGCTTGGTAGAATCAATGGTATAGAATTGCAAATAAATTTTATGGTTCATAAATCATTTCCAACAAATCTTCCATCAGGTGATTCAAAGGATATACTTTTGAAGCACTTTCTCTCAATGAAAATACACAGTCAAACATTGTGAGTTTAGGGAAAATATGTGAATAGAAATTAAAAAACTTACAAATTTGGGTGGTTGAACCCTTTCTGCAGTAATGCCTAAAATTGCATCAAAGAAACTTATCAGTAAAAGTAAACCGCAAGCATGGAATATTTTCATAATATCATCAAATCATGTATGCTATTTTGAGGTAGATACAAGTTCTGCAGACAACGTTATTGATGCTATAAGTTCAGGGATCAAAGTAAATACCCCTGACTGCAAGAAATTTTGTTAAGGGTATTAGGGCAGTATGATCCTGGTGAACAGAACATCGAAGTACTACTCCCAACATCGGCCCAAATATCAGCAGTGCCGCAACTGTGGTTCGGCTTTCCAGGGGGAATTTGGTAATTATATCTGCAAAATTTATCGACCAATAAATCGTGATGCCTACCGTACACGACAATATCATGTGAGAGTAGAAGAAAAGAGAGATGAACTTACGGGTCACAAACTCCGGTAGATTTATTCAGCGATGCAAGCGGACAATAAGAACCTAAAGGGCATGCTTCATTTTGCATGAACATGGAAAAGACAATAAATGTTCTTCATTCAGTTCCACTTCTATCAATATATAATTCCATTTTTCTTATTAGCTTCATCCCTAAATACCATGAGTACTTACGTATCATGCAAGCAAGGCCCCTAGGGCAAAAAAATCCTTCACAACAAGGTTGACAATCTGTGGTCCTGGAAGGCATGTGTTTTTCATCTTTTAGTTCGAAGTCCTGGTTCGGGTCAACAAAACAACCCCATCCCGGTTCACATCCGTCAACCCAGGATTTCAAATTGCAGTTCTTATTAACTTTCACGTAACCGGTTTTGGACCCCTTTGAAAATAAACTATAGAAGTAAAACTTTATTTCTGCTGCTGTACATAGTCTCTGGGTGACATCTCCTGTTAAAATCATAATTCATCATCAGCTCCCATATTTAAGTAGGCATAAAAGCAAGCATGTGGTGATATAAATCATCATAATGTCACAAGTTCAAGAGCATATACTATTCACCTGGATAAAAGCTTCATACCTTTTGTTTTCTTGATACAATTGGTAATGAAATCCATATTTTTTGAAAAATTAAATGCCCCATTCAAATCCTCATCCCTGAAAAGAAACAAGACATAACCACTAATTCACTAATGAATGCAAGACACAGAGACCAAATAACAGCAGAATTGGGAAACAACTTACGCGTTCCTTATGCAGAAGCTCAAATCGTTGCCGATATCTTTGATTAAAAACGTGGTAAGATTGGAAATGCGTTGGTGGATGAGGCCTGTAACTTTGGGAAGGACGGCGGGGTTTTGCGTCTCACTGTATTCATCCCCATCCACAGACTTTGAGGAAGGAAAGAAACTTAAAAAAGCAAGAAGAAGAAGATGGGATCTAACAACAGCTCTCATGTTGATGATCAACAGGGGACACTCTACAAATCACAAATCCTATATCAAAAAACATAAAACAACAAAGTACAATTGAATTCTGTGAATGAAACATGGCATTGTCAGCGGTGGATAACGTGCCTTTAAAACATCATGGTCTTGAGTTATTTTATCCTTGTTTCAAACAAGACCATGAACATGGAAAGGATCCAAAAGAACAATGAGTTTTGGAATAGGGGTGGTTGAAACCAAAAATGAAGATTGGCAAGAGGGGGAAGAATACATTAGAAGTTGGGAGTAAATGTGTGTTTGGGTTTGAAAGGAGGGCCTTGATTTCGGGAATGAAAGAAATGGTTGGGAGAAATGGGTGGCGACATTCAAGCTGGACACTATTCTCTACCGTTACGATTCAAATAAGTAACATATAAAAATTGATCACAGATCTACATGTAACAATTAAATACCGAACGATTGAGTGGTACATTTCAAACAATAAAAATTACAAGTAAAATTAAATTATCTTTTGAAATTATCCATCGTAAGTTTACGTCTCCTCAGGTGAGACGGGCCATTAACGTCCCTGGAAAGAATACCAGTTAGTTGCAGAGGAGCCTCGTTGAAGGTGGCTAAGGAGCCGTCAGGACTGGTTTGGAGTTCCGCAAAGGAGTCGGCAGCCAAGTTTGCTTCACGCTTAATCAGGGAGAAGTCGAGGAACCAGGCCTTCGAGGAGATAAGAGCAATGGCTCGGACGATGGCTTATGGGACTGTTGGAAGCATCAGGAGAGGTGATCAGTGTATAAGCTTCAGCGCTGTCGGTTTGGCAGTGGACTTTCTCGAATCTGAGAGACCAGGCAAGGGAAAGGCCGTCATAGATTCCCCAAAGTTCAGTTTCAAGGATGGAGGAATGACCAATAAAGTTAAACCCGACAATGAAGTCTCCATCATGGTTACGAAAGAGCCCGCCAGGAGTTCCCTTAGTGGTTGTAGGGTAAAAAGCGCCATCTGAGTTGAGAGTCACCCATCTTGCTTCAGCTGCTTTCCATTCGACTAGGTCGTCGGCGGGGTCTCCATATTGTTGATTGGGGGGCAACAGCGTTGCAGTGTTCGCCCACGAGCGGCTCAGGTGAAGAAGGTCAGCATTAGATATTCCTTGGCCCGTAAAAATGGTCGAGTTCCTCCTCTTCCAGACCTGCCAAATGAGAGAGGAAAAAAAATAATATTCCAAGGGATATCAGTTCCTCTATAAAGGGTACAAACCTCAAGGTTATTCATTAACCAGTCTTCAAGGGGGAGATCAAAAAAGTTTGAGACGCTGTGGGGGAGGTCAATAGCAGTCCAGAGGTCCTTCGTGATAGGGCAATCCCAGAGGACGTGGATTAAGGATTCATTGTTATCACCACAGATAGAACAGTAGGGGTCGTCGGTGAGGTTCAAGTGCCAGCGATTGAGGTTAGTGAGAAGTTTTTTGTGCATGAAGACAAGAAGGAATGAAATGAAGGCCAGATCCTGGAAATAGAACGCCAAAGGTGTGATGGGTTGTGATTAACAATGAAAATGTGGCAAACTTCCACAAGCTTATACTTCTGCCTCAGTAACTGGATCCAGAAAATATCTCCGTTAGAGACAGAGGCAAAACAGATTTTCATTAAGAAGACAATGTTATGGTTTTGAATTTGCCGAAGACCGAGACCTTCATTGGCTCTAGGCCGAGTTATGGTATTCCAATTGACGAGGGAGAGTGCACAGAATCGCCCCAAATAAATCACCTAATAAGCTTTTCAATGTACTTGCAAATGCGAAAAGGGAGACGACAGGTTTAAATGATGAAATAGGTTGAAATGGCAAAGAGGACCGAATTAGCGAGGGTGACTCTCCCAGCGAGGGAGAGGGAGTGAGCTGACCAACCTTCGAGCTTCTTCCGAATTTTATCAAGAATAAAGTTATAAAAATCTTAGGTTGCTTTTTTGGGCATGGTAGGAATGCCAAGATCTATAACTTGATGCATATCATGACAAGAACCAACTTCATTGGCACTTGCAGTGCTAGTATTATCCGAGAAATAGACCTGAGATTTGAGTTTGTTAATTTTGTGACCGGAGAAGGTACAAAACTCATCAAGTATACGGTCGATAAGATCAGCTTGCTCAACAATCAGTTTTTTCTTCTTCGAAAAATGGACCTCAGGGAAAAGAATACCCACAGAACTGTTGACTAGCACCGAAAGGTGCCTAAATTAATGCACCGAAAGGTGCATGGCCCCTTTTGTTGAAAATATAAAAAATGGGATAATTCAATTTAGTCACTAAATTTTAGGGTATTTACAAATTAGTCCTTAGGTTTCAACTATAAATATCCTAGCTCATTTAGCTTCAAAATCATCCCAAAGCATTCTAGTTTTCTTCCAATACTAGAGAGATTTTATAGAGTTTCTTGAGAGTTGTTTTCTCTTTTTTATCTAGAGATAATTATCATTGTTTTCTCCTTGGTAGATCGAGAGAGGTTGTAATTCCTATTTTCTCATAGTGAAATTCTTCTACCGTTGCCCGTGGTTTTTACCCTAAATATTTTAGGGGTTTTCCACATAAATTTTGTGTCTCTTTTATCTTCATTTTTATTTTCTCAAATTATCAGTTGTGATTTTGCTCTATCCGATAGCCGTCTTCCGCAACAATTGGTATCAGAGCTAGATTAGAGTGTGTAATATCTGCTTATTGTCTTTGTAGTTGCCACCAAAAGGTGGATCCTCCAACATAAGAAAGTAAGAAGTTATTACCCATTCTTTGAAGGTTCCAGAGAACTATTCACGATAGTGAAATAGTGGGAGCTATCCGTAAAAGAAGCCATGACAACGAAATTTGATATTGAAAAGTTCAATGGGAGAAATTTCTCATTGTGGAAATTAAAGATGAAGGCCATCCTGAGGAAAGACGGGGTGTCTAGCGGCTATCAGTGAAAGGCCGATGGATTTTGCAGATGACAGCAAATGGATCGAAATGGACGGAAATGTTATGGCAAACTTTCATCTAGCATTAGCAGATGAAGTATTGTCAAGCATCGAGGAGAAAAAGATAGCTAAGGAGATATGAGATCATCTCACCAAACTGTACGAGGCCACATCGTTGCACAATAAAATTTTCCTTAAGAGAAAATTGTACACTCTCCGTATGTCAGAATCTACTTCAGTGACGGAGCACTTAAATACACTGAACACTTTATTTTCTCAGCTTACATCTTTAAGCTGTAAAATAGGAGAACAATAACGTGCTGAACTTCTACTTCAAAGTTTACCGGATTCGTATGATCAACTCATCATCAACTTGACAAACAGTAATGTCACCAGTCTAGTCTTCGATGACGTTGCAGCTGTTGTTCTACAAGAAGAAAATCGGCGCAAGAACAAGGAAGACAGACAAGTAAATCTGCAACAAGCAGAAGCGTTGACAACGATGACAACGATGAGAGGGAGATCAACAGAACGTGACCAAAACAGCAGTCACAAACATGGTAGATCGAAGTCGAGGAGCAAGAAGAATTTAAAGTGTTACAACTGTGGAAAGAAGGGTCATCTGAAGAAGGATTGTTGGAGTCTAAATAAAAACTCCAATCCATAAGGCAATACCGCAAACACTTCAGATGATGGAAATGCTCTATGTTGTGAAGCGTCAACCACCGTGGAAGGAAGAAAACGATTTGCAGATATATGGCTCATTGATTCGGGAGCAACATATCACATGACCTCAAGAAGAGAATGGTTCCATCATTATGAACCTGTCTCAGGAGGATCTGTTTATAGTTGCAATGATCATGCCTTAGAGATCGTTGGTGTGGGAACCATCAAATTGAAGATGTATGACGGAACAATTAAAGTTGTTCGAGATGTGCGGCACATGAAAGGCCTGAAGAAAAATTTATTATCCTACGGATTGTTGGATAATAATGCAAGCAAGATTGAAACACGGAAATGAATCATGAAAGTGTTCCGTGGAGTGCTTGTGGTACTGAAAGGCAAAAAAATAACTGCAAACTTGTACATGCTGAAGGGAGAGACTTTGGTAGAAGCAGAAGCCTCTGTTGCCTCATGTAGTTCAGATTCGGCAATGCTATGGCATCAGAAACTTGGACACATGTCAGAACAAGGAATGAAAGTCCTTGTGGAGCAAAAGATACTTCCAGGCTTAACAAAGGTATCACTTCCTTTGTGTGAGCATTGCATAACAAGTAAGCAGCACCGGTTGAAATTCAACACATCAAATTCTAGAGGCAAAAGTGTTCTAGAATTGGTTCACTCTGACGTATGGCAAGCACCAGTAACGTCCCTAGGTGGAGCAAAATACTTTGTCTCATTTATTGATAACTACTCCAGGAGATGTTGGGTGCACCCTATTAAGAAGAAGAAGTCAGACGTGTTTTCAACTTTCAAAAACTTCAAAGCGCAGGTGGAACTTGATTCTGGAAATAAGATCAAGTGTTTCAGAACAGATAATGGAGAAGAATACACAAGCGAAGAATTTGATGACTTTTGCAAGAAAGAATGCATCAAAAGACAGTTCACAGGTGGCGAACACTCCTCAACAAAATGGAGTGGCAGAGCGGATGAACAGAACCTTGTTAGAAAGAACAAGAGCAATGTTGAGGGACGGCCTAGAAAAATCATTCTGGGCAGAAGCAGTCAATACCGCCTGTTATTTGGTGAATCGAGCTCCATCAACTGCAATAGAGCTGAAGACACCAATGGAGATGTGGACTGGTAAACCAGTTGATTATTCAAACCTCCATGTATTTGGAAGTATTGTGTACGTGATGTACAACACCCAAGAAATTTCAAAGCTGGATCCAAAATCCAGGAAATGCAAATTCTTGGGGTATACTGATGGTAAAGGGGTATCGCTTGTGGGATCCCACTGCCCCAAAGTGATCATTAGCAGGGATGTTATCTTTGTAGAAGATAAACTACAAAGAAAAGAAGACGATGATAGCGCTGAAAAGTCAGAGACTACTCAGATACATGTGGAAAAAGAGTT